CTCCTAATGTTGTCTACCCGTTCAGAGCGGAGGCTGGCTTTTGTGATTTTCATGGAGTCTGATATGACAAGCACATGCGTAACTGCTTGACCTGCTGCCCATGAAAGCGCTCTAGAGTTGCTGCTGCCGTCTTTTATTGCTCGCACTTTCCTTTGTGTTCTTATGCTGACCTTGACCCATGCTTCACGTGCCTCATCTGTTAAGATAATAATGCCTTTTTGATATAATATTGTTCTATCAGTGCCTTTATCTGTATATATGCGACAGTTTTGATTTCTAAAACATCCTCAATGGTGAATTGTACAAGGTGTATACAAGATGTTGGGGTTGAAATTAAGATGTGTGCACGCTGGAATGATACGGACCCCGAGATCTGTACGTGAAAGCTAGATGACATTACTGCGCTGCACTGAGAGGAAACCTGGGAAGGGAATAGAAACACAGTGAAAAAAATGATTGTAGATAGGTTCGAAGCTGAGCAGCTGAGAAAAACCTCGTTGAATAAATGCGATTGTAACAATGTTCCTGGATTCCAATGTTCTAATTGTAGAAGACTTTCATTTATGCGAACGAGTCTGGTTATCACAGTCGCCATCGCCATTTGCTAGGATTGGCGCACCGACATTAGGCACACTAGACTGTCGTCTGGCTGTCACAGTCGCCATGTGCTAGGATTGGCGCACCGACATTTGGCACACTAGACTGTCGTCTGGCTATCACAGTCGCCATGTGCTAGGATTGGCGCACCGACATTTGGCACACTAGACTATCCTCTGGCTATCACAGTCGCCATGTGCTAGGATTGGCGCACCGACATTAGGCACACTAGACTGTCGTCTGGCTGTCACAGTCGCCATGTGCTAGGATTGGCGCACCGACATTTGGCACACTAGACTATCCTCTGGCTATCACAGTCGCCATGTGCTAGGATTGGCGCACCGACATTTGGCACACTAGACTGTCGTCTGGCTATCACAGTCGCCATGTGCTAGGATTGGCGTACCGACATTTGGCACACTAGACTGTCGTCTGGAAAGACAGAAAGGTGTCAACAACATAATTGTTTTCTTCTCCTCTTCACTTCCTATAGTACAGTTTTGTGTGTCCAAGGAGATGTAATGTTCTGCTTCTTGCTATTCTTGACGCCTGGACGGTATCACCATGTTACAGAGTTTCTCTGATGTTATCTGTCCATATTGTTCTTCGTCTACCTCGTTCTCTTCGTTTGTTTTCTCTGTTGGTGTGTGCTTTGTATGTTATGACGTTACAATGCATTCTCTCTAAGCGGGCAAACCATTTGATTTGCTCTCTTTGTATATAATTTAGAGTTGGTTCTGTGTCAATTTGGTCTCATATGACCTCATTTCTAATTGAATCTCTTCTGGTCACTCCTGCAACTCTTCTAAAACACATCTTTGTAAGCTCCGTAGCTATAATAAATCCACTGCTGGCTTGCTAGGCATGTCGCAGCTTCACCAGAGCTCCCTTGACCTTCATGGCTACTGTAGAGGCCCCGTGGTTCAAGGTCACTCCATATACAGCAATTTGGAAAACTATGCAATTGATAGTTACATACAGTATTATGTTGCGACTTTTCAAACCTTTTTGGCGTTGCTAAGTACACCAAGAGAATATTATTAAAAATAAAGTAGTTTGCACTTATAAAGTGATCAGCAATATAAATTATAACAACATTATATACTGCAGAATTGTCAAGATTGTCAAACTGATTATGAAAAAAAGGCTTAGAAAAAAGAAAGAATTTCAGAACATTCACTCTAAATGATTACATGTTCTGAGATACAAGAGAAGGGAGACAAGCATGCCCTCCTGTACTTCTGGATACGGGCACTTGAGCAGGTGGACACAGGTGTCAGCAAACTCCCGGAAGAGGTGATTGCATGTGTAGAATGCTGGAGATGATACACAATTCGAAAGGATTAGTACAAACTGACTGGTAATTTCGTTACCTTTATCTTCATCAACTTCCACGTTTGCGGTACAGCGCCCTATTGGTAGCAATGGATACTGTCGGTCTGTATGGATGTGTGGAATATTATCAATCCATCTTCTTATTGTGCGCCATCTTGCTCTCATTTGTTTAAACAGTCATCATCATCATCATCGTCAAAATCCCCTTTTACCGTTAAACCACGTCAAGACTTCATGATTCAGTATTTCTTGTCTCACTCGCCGGTCGGAAGGTCGTGGGTTCGCTCCCTTGCGGAGCCAGACTTTTTTCAAAAATGACCTTGGCTCCCAGGTCAACCCAGCCTTGAGTGGGTACCGGGTGCAGACCCGAGAAGTAAAGGCGGCTGACGTGATGCTGACCACATCACCCATCTTGTACCGATTGGTCTATAAAACTATAGGTTTAGCCCTATATGCCCTATACGCCTAAATGCGTGGAAAGGGTCCTTGACTTGACTTACTTACTCCATGGCCAGCTCTGGATATGTCATTCCCTGTCGATGTAGAATGTCTATCATGTCACAAACCTAACTACTTCTTGTCCGCGCTCTCTCGCTCTCAGGCAAGATGTTTTGTTTTGATCTAGAGCCTGTGCCGTTGTTGTATTTGCATTGTAGCGATACATGGAACTTTCCGATCGTCTGCTTCTCAGGGTACATGGTGCAATGTTGTGTCTCAGCAGTCGATCTGATGGTGCCATTTCTCACTTTGTCTCTGATAGTTAAACTGAGAGCTTTCTTGTTGATGTGTTAATGTTCCCTTGTGTTGATTTTACCTGCGCTAGTCTTGATACTGTCCATGTTTCTCTCTCGTAGCACAGTACTGGTATAAATATGATCTATATAATATGTTATTTAGCAGTCAAACTGTGCTTGGATGACTGAATGACGCGTTTGGCATCTTATTTATATTTAACGGTCTATTCTACCGTCCTCCGAGAATATACTTCCTAGTATCCAAATTCGTTAACTTGCTTCAGACAAGTGCCATTTAATCCATATGTACTGGACTAGGAATTATATTGACATGCAGTTTTAGACTTATATACTTACATGTCATCTCTTCTGTAAGTTTAACTTGACCTGTGCAAATGGTTTTGTTGTCTACTGGCTTCACTGTAAAACAGGCACTGCTCGTCTGCCCATGGTAACTTATTTAATGTATTTGGATCTAATCCTTGATATGAAATGCAAAATTCCCCATTTTCTAGGTGGATTATTCAAAAGTTGGCTTTCTTAGATATTCTATCCGTGTGAAAATCATGAACAACAAGCAGCCATCAGAACAGCTGGTGAAACACCGGATTGGTTCGAGGTGCAAAAGGGGTTAGGGCAGGGGTGCATTCTCTCACCATACCTATTCAATATATACGCAGAAATTATAATGAGAAATGTCAAAAATGACCAGACTTGTGACAGTTATGATCCGCTCAAAATTGGTGGAAACCCTATTGCGGAACTCCGCTACGCAGATGATACAGTCCTCCTTTCCAACAGCGTAAAGGGAATAGAAAATTTAATATTGTCTGTCCAAAATCACAGTAAAGATCAAAATCTGTTCTTGAATTTAAAGAAAACGAAAATAATGTCCACAGATAAAACTGGCTTTCACCCAAAAATAACAATAAATGATGAAGAAATTGAAAATGTCACAAACTTTGAATATCTAGGCACTAAAATAAACAGCAATGGAGACTGTTCAACAGAAATTAAAAGGAGAATGAGCCTAGCAATGCAAAGATTGAACAGTCCTAAAAGTCTATGGTTAAGCATTAGCAAGGAGATGAAAACTAGAATTTTGAGAGCATGCAACTTCCCTGTGGCTACATACGTATGTGAGTCGTGGACTATCTCTCAGTCCTTAAGAAAGAGAATAAGGGCTTTTGAGCTGAAATGCTATAGAAAGATTTTCAGAATATCTTGGACAAAGAAGAGGAGAAATACTGACATCTTCAAAGATCTGAACATCAAGGAAGATTGGCTAATAAACAACATCCTGTCGAGTTATCTGGTGTAACAACATTCATACATGTTCTTTTTTTAGCTGTGAATCGAGTTATCTGGTGTAACAACATTCATACATGTTCTTTTTCAGCTGTGAATCGAGTTATCTGTTCTAACAACATTCATGCATGTTCTTGTTTAGCTGTGAATCGAGTTATCTGTTGTAACAACATTCATAGATGTTCATTTTTAGCTGTGAATCGAGTTATCTGTTCTAACAACATTCATACATGTTCTTGTTTAGCTATGAATCAAATTATCTGTTCTAACAACATTCATACATGTTCTTGTTTAGCTGTGAATCGAGTTATCTGGTGTAACAACATTCATACATGTTCTTGTTTAGCTGTGAATCGAGTTATCTGGTGTAACAACATTCATACATGTTCTTTTTTAGCTGTGAATCGAATTATCTGTTCTAACAACATTCATACATGTTCTTGTTTAGCTGTGAATCGAGTTATCTGTTCTAACAACATTAATACATGGTCTTGTTTAGCTGTGAATCGAGTTATCTGTTCTAACAACATTCATACATGTTCTTGTATGAATCGAATTATCTATTCTAACAACATTCATACATGTTCTTGTATGAATCGAATTATCTGTTCTAACAACATTCATACATGTTTCCAATGTGACTCAAGAGTGATAGACCTCCAACGATTCTCAGTCTATTGTATTCTTCTTCTTTTTTTTCAAAACCAGAACTAACAATAATTTAAAAAGGACTTTCCTTCCTTCAGCATGATGAGCATTGACAAAGCGTTGTGCCACGGAACTACATCCTTGGTGTCTAAGGGAAGAGAGGGGTGGCTGGGAATTGGAAACACTATCATGGGCTGTGACTCTAATGCCTTCCTAGAGGCAAAATATAGAACTAATTATCTGGAAAGAAGAAAAGATGCCAATAGCAACAAACCGTCTGTTTATCAGCGTCTCCACCAGCCCAGTTCTACTTTCTGACTGCGCCGTACAGACATTTGGCAATTTCAACGAGGGTCTCACATTGAACACATCATGTACCTTGGTTTCTGGCTAGTGACTCCATACATATCCGAGCTGCTAGCAGGACGAGAGATTTGTTGTCACTGTTTGCCAAGGCTGTCAAGTGTTCTTCCATCACATTCCAGGAAACTCGTTGGGTGAGGAATGTGGATGCATCTGCTGGAGGGAATAATCAGCAAAACAAACATGACGCAGCTGCTTGAACTTATTTGTAAATGTTATCTGGCGTCTCTTCCATGAGCTTTTGACTGACTGACTCAGCTGGAAGTCAGCACAACGGCTGGACCACTTTTAAAGTAAAAAGAGGGCACTATTTTAACAATGCTCAAATCAAAGTCGCTAAAGTCATTAAACAGAGCAGGTATATTATTCAAGCCAAGAACTAACCCACAATCAGCGGGGGGTCGTGTCTCCACATTATCCAGTACAATTAGAGATGTTTGTGTGCAGAAGACACAATTACAGATTTGTGTACACTTGTGGACATTGGGAGAGGAGCGGGTTAAAGTCCAAGAGCCAAAACGTGTGTGGTTCTACTCACACTTGGCCAGGGATTGGCCAGCAGGCGCTGCAGAATTAGAAAATCAACTTTTGATTGATAATTGCCGCAGATGTGGTGTGATTATCAATACAGCGGGCACTGTGTTTAGAGGAAGAAGAAGTGCCGGTTCTCAAGCCGATGGAAAGCTGTTGTGACTGCATCCACCTCCATTTCCGAACAAGATGTTGTAGTATCATACACCGCTAGCCTGTGTTACACTAAGAACAAAAATAGGCATACTTCGTGCAGAGTGGGAAGCATCGCTTCAGATGTCCAGGGGAGTTAGCATTCTTTGGATATTGTCTCCAGTAATACAAGAGTATTGTGACATGAACAGACAGACTGTCTAGTTCCGCATCGATGAATGGTGAATGTACGCATGACAAGCTAGATATGGTCAAGCGCCTTCCGGGAGTAAGTGAACAATGAGGGGACACAAACAAATTATTATGGTCGAGAGAAAATCCTACAGCTAGGAGTGAACTGGGCATCTGGTCGACACTCTACACCCAGAAACTGGGCATCTGGTCGACACTCTACACACAGAAACTGGGCATCTGGTCGACACTCTACACACAGAAACTGGGCATCTGGTCGACACTTTACACACAGAAACTGGGCATCTGGTCGACACTCTACACACAGAAACTGGGCATCTGGTCGACACTCTACACACAGAAACTGGGCATCTGGTCGACACTCTACACACAAAAACTGGGGATCTGGTCGACAATCTACACACAGAAACTAGGCATCTGGTCGACACTCTACACACAGATACTAGGCATCTGGTCGATACTCTACACCAGAAACTGGGGATCTGGTCGACACTCTACACCCAGAAACTGGGCATCTGAACGACACTCTACACACAGAAACTGGGCATCTGGTCGACACTCTACACCCAGAAACTGGGCATCTGAACGACACTCTACACACAGAAACTGGACATCTGGTCGACACTCTACACTCAGAAACTGGGCATCTGGTCGACACTCTACACTCAGAAACTGGGCATCTGGTCGACACTCTACACACAGGAACGGAAATAAAATCGAATTGCTACAGGCACCATCATAATTAGAACTCTTCAGTAACTGCCGAGAAGGAGGAGGATGTGCCAAGTGTTTTACTGAAAGTTCTAACTTAGCTCAACACTTAGCACTGTTCAGAGAAAAAACTGACCCCCCCCACCCCCACCCCAGGAATGAGGGGCAGGGGCCGACCGACACGAAGATGGGCACAGGATATAAGTGACCCCTTTGAGTATGAAAGTGGATGAGGCGGGAGACCGAGTTTCTTTCAGGCAGACTGCCATGAGAGCGACGTTCTGCAAAGGACCTGTCACATGATGATGATGATGAATGAGTCATGTCATTTGTTGTCCAGGCCAAAGACTGACTAACTAACCTTAAATAGCCAGGTCATTAGTTATCCAGGCCAAAGACTGACTAACTAACCTTAATTAGCCATGTCATTAGTTTTCCAGGACAAAGACTGACTAAGTAACCTTAATTAGCCAGGTCATTAGTTTTCCAGGCTAAAGACTGACTAACTTTAATGAGTTGTTTCATTTATTGTCCAGGTAAAAGACTAAGAGACCTGAAGAGTCGTGTCATTTGTTTTAGAGGACAAAGACTGAATAACTAACCCTGAAGAATCCTTTCATTTATGTTCCAGGCCAAAGACTAACTGAGAATGAAGAGTCGTGACATTTGTTATCCAGGCCAAAGACTAACTGACATTGGAGCGTCGTGACATTTGTTATCCAGGCCAAAGACTAACTGACATTGAAGAGTCGTGACATTTGTTATCCAGGCCAAAGACTAACTGACATTGAAGAGTTATGTGCCACTGTCTAGGCCAAAGACTAACAGACCTTAAAGAGTTATGTGCCACTGTCTAGGCCAAAGACTAATAGACCTTAAAGAGTTATGTGCCACTGTCTAGGCCTAAGACTAACAGACCTTAAAGAGTTATGTGCCACTGTCTGGGAAAAAGACTAACAGACTTTAAAGAGTTATGTGCCACTGTCCAGGCCAAAGACTAACAGACCTTAAAGAGTTATGTGCCACTGTCCAGGCCAAAGACTAACAGACCTTAAAGAGTTATGTGCCACTGTCTAGGCCAAAGACTAACAGACCTTAAAGCGTTATCCACTGTTCAGGCCAAAGACTAACAGACCTTAAAGAGTTATGTGCCACTGTCTAGGCCAAAGACTAACTGACCCTAAAGAGTTATGTGCCACTGCCCAGGCCAAAGACTAACTGACATTGAAGAGTCGTGACATTTGTTATCCAGGCCAAAGACTAACTGACATTGAAGAGTTATGTGCCACTGTCTAGACCAAAGACTAACAGACCTTAAAGAGCTATGTGCCACTGTCCAGGCCGAAGACTAACAGATATTAAAGAGTTATGTGCCACTGTCCAGGCCAAAGACTGACAGACCTTAAAGAGTTATGTGCCACTGTCTGGGCCAAAGACCAACAGACCTTAAAGAGTTATGTGCCACTGTCCGGGCCAAAGACTGACAGACCTTAAAGAGTTATGTGCCACTGTCCAGGCCAAAGACTGACAGACCTTAAAGAGTTATGTGCCACTGTCTAGGCCAAAGACTGACAGACCTTAAAGCGTTATCTACTGTCCAGGCCAAAGACTAACTGACATTGAAGAGTTATGTGCCACTGTCTAGGCCAGAGACTGACAGACCTTAGAGAGTTATGTGCCACTGTCTAGGCCTAAGACTGGCAGACCTTAAAGAGTTATGTGCCACTGTCTAGACCAAAGACTAACAGACCTTAAAGAGCTATGTGCCACTGTCCAGGCCGAAGACTAACAGATATTAAAGAGTTATGTGCCACTGTCCAGGCCAAAGACTGACAGACCTTAAAGAGTTATGTGCCACTGTCTAGGCCAAAGACTGACAGACCTTATAGAGTTATGTGCCACTGTCTAGGCAAAAGACTGACAGACCTTAAAGAGTTATGTGCCACTGTCCGGGCCAAAGACTGACAGACCTTAAAGAGTTATATGCCACTGTCTAGGCAGAAGACTAACAGATATTAAAGAGTTATGTGCCACTGTCTAGGCCAAAGACTGACAGACCTTAAAGAGTTATCTGCCACTGTCCAGGCCAAAGACTGACAGACCTTAAAGAGTTATGTGCCACTGTCTAGGCCAAAGACTGACAGACCTTAAAGCGTTATCTACTGTCCAGGCCAAAGACTAACAGACCTTAAAGAGTTATGTGTCACTGTCTAGGCCAAAGACTAACTGACATTGAAGAGTCGTGACATTTGTTATTCAGGCCAAAGACTAACTGACATTGAAGAGTTATGTGCCACTCTCTAGGCCAGAGACTGACAGACCTTAAAGAGTTATGTGCCACTGTCTAGGCCAAAGACTGGCAGACCTTAAAGAGTTATGTGCCACTGTCTAGGCCAAAGACTGGCAGACCTTAAAGAGTTATGTGCCACTGTCTGGGCCAAAGACTAACAGACCTTAAAGAGTTATGTGCCACTGTCTGGGCCAAAGACTGGCAGACCTTAAAGAGTTATGTGCCACTGTCCAGGCCAAGGACTGACAGACCTTAAAGAGTTATGTGCCACTGTCCAGGCCAAAGACTGACAGACCTTAAAGAGTTATGTGCCACTGTCTAGGCCAAAGACTGACAGACCTTAAAGAGTTATGTGCCACTGTCCAGGCCAAAGACTAACAGACCTTAAAGAGTTATGTGCCAATGTCAAGGCCAAAGACTGTCAGACCATAAAGAGTTATGTGCCACTGTCTAGGCCAAAGACTAACAGACCTTAAAGAGTTATGTGCCACTGTCCAGGCCAAAGACTGACAGACCTTAAAGAGTTATGTGCCACTGTCCAGGCCAAAGATTAACAGACCTTAAAGAGTTATGTGCCACTGTCTAGGCCAAAGACTAACAGACCTTTTAAAGCGTTATCCACTGTTCAGGCCAAAGACTAACAGACCTTAAAGAGTTATGTGCCACTGCCCAGGCCAAAGACTAACTGACATTGAAGAGTCGTGACATTTATTATCCAGGCCAAAGACTAACTGACATTGAAGAGTTATGTGCCACTGTCTAGGCCAATGACTAACAGACCTTAAAGAGCTATGTGCCACTGTCTAGGCCGAAGACTAACAGATATTAAAGAGTTATGTGCCACTGTCCAGGCCAAAGACTGACAGACCTTAAAGAGTTATGTGCCACTGTCCAGGCCAAAGACCAACAGACCTTAAAGAGTTATGTGCCACTGTCTAGGCCAAAAACTAACTGACATTGAAATTGAAGAGTCGTGACATTTGTTATCCAGGCCAAAGACTAACTGACATTGAAGAGTTATGTGCCACTGTCTAGGCCAGAGACTGACAGACCTTAAAGAGTTATGTGCCACTGTCTAGGCCGAAGACTAACAGATATTAAAGAGTTATGTGCCACTGTCCAGGCCAAAGACTGACAGACCTTAAAGAGTTATGTGCCACTGTCCAGGCCAAAGACCAACAGACCTTAAAGAGTTATGTGTCACTGTCTAGGCCAAAGACTAACTGACATTGAAGAGTCGTGTCATTTGTTATCCAGGCCAAAGACTAACTGACATTGAAGAGTTATGTGCCACTGTCTAGGCCAGAGACTGACAGACCTTAAAGAGTTATGTGCCACTGTCTAGGCCAAAGACTGACAGACCTTAAAGAGTTATGTGCCACTGTCTAGGCCAAAGACTGGCAGACCTTAAAGAGTTATGTGCCACTGTCTAGGCCAAAGACTAACAGACCTTAAAGAGTTGGGTGCCATTGTCCAGGCCAAAGACTAACTGACATTGAAGAGTCGTGACATTTGTTATCCAGGCCAAAAAAAGAGTTATGAGTTATGTGCCACTGTCTAGGCCAAAGAGTGACAAACAGATCTTGAAAAGTTATTTCACAATGTCCAGGCCAAAGACTGACAAACATATCTTGAAGAATCATTTCACACTGTCCAGGCCAAAGACTGACAAACATATCTTGAAGAATTATTTCACAATGTCCAGGCCAAAGACTGACAAACAGATATTGAAGAATTATTTCACAATGTCCAGGCCAAAGACTGACAAACAGATCTTAAAGAATTATTTCACAATGTCCAGGCCAAAGACTGACAAACAGATCTTGAAGAATTATTTCACAATGTCTAGGCCAAGATGACCTCTAGATCTTAAATAGTCATGCCAGTTGTTGTCTAGTTCTAAGACTGATTAACTCTGAAGAGTCTGTCACATTGTCCAGACTAAAGATGTCGTATCACTTCGTTCAGACCAAAGATATTTTGTCACGTTGTCCAGACCAAAAATGTAGTGTCACGTTGCCCCGACCAGAGATGACGTGTCACGTTACCCCGACCAAAGATACAGTGTCACGTTGCCAAGATTAAGGGTGCGGTGTCACGTTGTCCAGGCCAAAGATGTCACATCACGTTGCCAAAACGAAAGATATCGTGTCACATTTTTACACCAACGATGTCGTGTCACGTCGCCCAGACAAGAGATGTCTTGTCGCCTTGACTAGACCAACGATGCGTATCACGTTGTCCGGATCGAAGATGGCGTGTCACGTTGACCAAAACCAAATATGCAGTGTCACGTTGTCCATTGACAAAAAATGTCGTGTCACGTTGTCCAAACCAAAGACCGGCGAAAATATTTAGAAATATACTACTAATCTCCCTTTGTGAAAAACCTTAAATGTAACTTATGAGCAATTTTTTTGGCTCTTCTTTTTCTCAGAGCTTATAAATATATATTTGGCTACGATAATAACACGTCTAAATGTATTATCATATCGTATAAAATGTGCGACATCCCATGTGATACAGTTTTGAAAATAAGAATCTGAATTAAGCTAGCTATTTTAAAGAACCTTTAATTCATAGTCAAGAAAGTAGTTACCTGAAATCAACAGAACGCCTCTTTCATTCCAGTTACCTTGTTGCCACTCTGTAAACGATGACGTTATGTTAGCTGCAGGTCAGCTTATAGAAATATTTGTAAACAAAAACAAAACAAAAAAATGTATTGGTTCTTGGATTTGCCATAAGCCCACATAGATTGAAGTTAGTGTCTGTGTCTATGACCAGTCGAAAAGCTAACTCGAGCCTTCTCCTCACCGATTCGTGGTTTCATCAATATTTACAAATAAACAAGGACAGCTAAACCAATTTAGATGATTCAATTGTTTAATAAAGAAACATGGAAATACATTGAACGTGTTGCATGACAAAGCTTCCATTTTGTGCACTGACTACAACCACACAGAAATGAGTCTATCTCAACATCAACGTCGCTGATATGTAAGGTAATTTGATTTTTGTATATCTGTGTGGTTTTGTCTGATTAATCTATGTGCTGATGAAAACTTTGTAGCCACAACGTTCACTTTTCGTTATATTGTAAAGCTCGCTGATTTACTTTTCGTTCGGTCTGATGTCTTTCCATGATATCTGCACGCATGACTGGTCTCCAGATATAGTCTGATTCATTCCATCCCCTCTCGAGCTCCCCGTTTCAAAAGCGGTCTAGTTTTCCTGTCCACGATACTAGCCTATTAGGTCTTTTCTTAGCTGAGCAAAATACGCAAACAGCATACCACCCATTTATATTAAAAGCAACATATGGCAAACAGCACAGCACAAATGGGTGCCAAAAACAATTTACGCAAACAATACACCACAAAAGCACGCCGAAAGTAACATGACAAACAGTACACCACAAAAGCACGCCGAAAGTAACATGACAAACAGCCCACCACAAAAGCATGCCAAAAGAAACATGACAAACAGAACATCACAAAAGCACGCCGAAAGTAACATACGGCAAACAGCATAACGTAAACATCACTGACAGTTTGATGAAGTTACTTACTTACACACACACACACACACACACACACACACACACACACACACACAAAGAAGAACTGAATAATTCTTACCTGGCAAAGAAACCAAATCTGACCACCTTAAAACCGCATTCATTTCTGAAGATGTCACACCTTTCAGGGACAGGTAAGTTTTCTTTACAATAGCAAATCGACGGTGACTAGAAGAATAGTAAGCACAAATATTCACACATTTTGTCAAACCGTCCAGTAGCATATTTAGTACGTCAATATGCTTGAACATCTCTTAATATCAATATCATTGCATTCTGGGATTATTCGGGTAAACCTGTCCCACAACAGATCTGTTTTGGCTGTTGTGTTTTCTCTAGGCAAATTTTAGGTTCAGATTGCCACTCAACGGTCAGCTCTCGGTACCACTGTCGAAACAACGCTAGACAAATAGTCTGCAGCTGGGATCGAACACGGCACCCCTACATTACGAAGTGCGCTCGCAAGGCCTAGGCCACTGACGGCGACAGTAGCAGGAAAGACTAAGCGATATCTTACACTGTAGAAGATGACAAGAGTTTTATACAGGAAATGGTTCTCCTGCTATCCCTATATGTTTACAGACTATTCCGCACCCGCTCAGTAGTTATAACAATATTATGTCAGCTGCCTACTTGTCCAAGTTCATTTTCTGTGATCCATTTTAGATTTGCCCTAATCAAACGTTGTTGGTACTGCAGTATAGATCTCATAGCCAAGCGTCTGTGGTCAAAGGTCTGCACAAGGTCTGGGTGTTGTCTGATGATCAGACACAGAGAAACAAGGCAGCCAATAAAAATGTTGCGATCCTAACCAAGTATTTGGAGTAAAGTATTCAAATTATCACGATTTAAAGAAATCTAGCCGCACAGGAGCATGCCGTTCTTGTCAAAGCCAGCTTAAGATCCTTCGGGAAAATGTGTGACTATCATATATTCATACTGGCAAACTCATAGAAAAATGTGTGACTATCATATATTCATACTGGCAAACTCATAGAAAAATGTGTGACTATCATATATTCATACTTGCAAACTCATAGAAAAATGTGTGGCTATCATATATTCATACTTGCAAACTCATAGAAAAATGTGTGGCTATCATATATTCATACTTGCAAACTCATAGAAAAATGTGTGACTATCATATATTCATACTTGCAAACTCATAGAAAAATGTGTGACTATCATATATTCATACTTGCAAACTCATAGAAAAATGTGTGACTATCATATATTCATACTTGCAAACTCATAGAAAAATGTGTGACTATCATATATTCATACTTGCAAACTCATAGAAAAATGTGTGACTATCATATATTCCTACTGGCAAACTCATAGAAAAATGTGTAACTATCATTTATTCCTACTGGCAAACTCATAGAAAAATGTGTAACTATCATTTATTCCTTCTGGCAAACTCATAGAAAAATGTGTAACGATCATTTATTCCTACTGGCAAACGCATAGAAAAATGTGTGACTATCATATATTCATACTTGCAAACTCATAGAAAAATGTGTGACTATTGTATATTCATACAGGCAAACTCATAGAAAAATGTGTGACTATTGTATATTTATACAGGCAAACTCATAGAAAAATGTGTGACTATTGTATATTCATACAGGCAAACTCATAGAAAAATGTGTGACTATTGTATATTTATACAGGCAAACTCATAGAAAAATGTGTGACTATTGTATATTTATACAGGCAAACTCATAGAAAAATGTGTTCGCTCAACAATGGCAGTTGGATCGACTTCACATTCTCCTGTGTTCTCTGTGCTGGTATTGATGCACACACTAGCTGGTGTAATGCTTGATCGTCGTGTTGACAAAGAGCGTAAGTGAACGCATCGACACGTTCAATTACAATAATTGTAAGATAAAAGATGCTTGGAACAGCGTAACTTGGAGATTTCTGCTACATCTGTGTCGGACTCTGAATTTATAGCCCCTTAACTGTATAATGTCTGACAATTATGTAATTAGACTGATTGTATGTTATGGCCAAGACAAAAATGTCATATGTGAAGTAAAGCATTGAATCCAAAAAGGCAAACTTAATTTATGATCTGGCAATTTTTCATCGCCGCCTGATGAGCAGATGCAAACAAGCCGCCATTTTGTTGACCTAGTCAGAGGTGCATTTCTACTAAATCAGCATAAAGAAAAAAAAAGCTAACATTCAATTTGGTTCAAAAGTGAGAAAAAAGAGCATTCGAGACAGTCGAATAGAAACGATAAGTTTATGGGGATAATTGTTTATCTCATGCACGTATTTCAGGTAGTATTCAAGATTAACAAGTGGTGTGGAAAAATTACTAATGCAACTAGATGGGGACGCCCAATTTCTATTCGTAGTGAGGAAATCATTGCAAAAGTCAGAGAACAGATACAAGAAGATCGCTGTTTGACTGTGATGATGATGGCAGATGAATCTGGTGTTAATAGAGAGACCATTTGTAACATTTTAATGCAAGATTTGAGCAAGAAAAAAAAGTTGCTTGCCGGTTTGTACCACATTCCTTGTCTGATGACCAAAAATATCAGCGTGTTAGGGACGCAAAAGGCATAATCAAAACGTGTCACAGAAATGAACATTTCTGAAATCTGATCATTGCACAAGATAAAACATGGATTTGTCGCTATGATCTGACAAATAAACGCTAAAGTGCTCAGTGGAAGTAATCTCATTACCAAAAGGCAAAATAATCCGTTTCCAAAAGTCAAAAATGAAGACAATAAAGACAGCAAAGAAGTTATTCACAATTAATTTATTCCAGTGGGACAGACTGAAACAGCCACAGTTTATTTGAGTATTTGGAAACGTCTGTTGAACGGATTCTCTGAGTCCGGCCCGAGTATTCAAAACTTGGCAGTTTCGTTCCTTCTTCGTGAGAATGCACCGGCTCACCGGGCGGTTGTACAAGAATTTTTGGCCAAAAAACAAGTGTGTCTTCTCAACCATCCACCATATTCCCCAGAATTGCCTCCCTATTATTATTTGGTATTCCCAAAATAAAAGTTAGCATTGAAAGGACGCTCATTTGACGATACTGATAACATCTTCAGGGCTGAAACATCGACTTTAAGGACCATAACAACAGAAGAACTATAGATGTTTGTTAGATCGTGCCACTCGCTGTATCAATGCACAAGGGGCTTACTTTAAATAAAATACAAATTATATCTTTAACTGTTGATTATTTCAATTTTATGTAATTAGTCTCATTACTTTATTGTCCGACCTTGTATTTGAACCAAACTTTTTCTGTCCAAAGACAGGTAGATATACCCAGCGGCCGTAGAGACTGCAAACAACACATATGAGTTCATGTCTATCTCTGTCACTAAATCTGTTGACTGTATACATGAAATATGTAAAATGGCGCCAGGGTAAGTAAATGCTTGAGTTCAGACATTGTCACGTATCGATGATATGCCAGTGTACCAACATTGGAAAGACACAGATATGATAGTATGTCAGTGTACCAACATTGGAAAGACACAGATATGATAGTATGCCAGTGTACCAACATTGGAAAGTCACAGATATGATAGTATGCCAGTGTACCAACATTGGAAAGACACAGATATGATAGTAAATAACCTATGGAACGTGCTGAACGTTGTCATCGAAAGTTGTAACGTTTCTAGTTCCAGCAAATTTAATGTGGCTTTCTAAAAAAATAACAATAGCGTCCATTGCCCGCTTGTCTTTCTCATCATTATGTTTAATGTTCTGCTGTAAATTCATGATATTAATCTACGGGATCGTAATCAGTGACTCAGTCTCTCCCAGGTACTGGCAACATGGAGCTCATCAACTACATCATGACAAACTACACTATGGCAGCTCCCAGTCACTCCCTCATTTGGTCCGTTACATTCCAAAACACTGGCAGGCACGGGGGCAGTTTCGATACTCCGTGTCTGATTCTGATGAATATATCAAGTATTGTGGAATCTAGCATGTAAGACAATGAACGATTACGATCGTTCTATCGAACTGTTTGTCCCCTCCGAGCTGCCTAAAAGTTTGACATACCATCCTGAGATTAGAGAATCGCAATCTGGATGGCAGACCCAGCAGGCAGATCTCTTATATCCCTTTCAACCGCTACAGAAGATAATATAAAGTAAGTGTAGCCAATCCTGTGCGTCTATAGCTGTCAACGTTCTGTTATATGAGTAGCACAGATGACAATCAGTATCCAGTTGCTGACTCCGATATTCCTACAATCTATCAGTCTATTCTATTACCTTGCTCTAGAGCTGTGAGAAGGGGTCGATGACACTTGCTGTGAGAAGGGGTCGGTGACACTTGCTGTGAGAAGGGGTCGGTGACACTTGCTGTGAGAAGGGGTCGGTGACACTTGCTGTGAGAAGGGGTCGGTGACACTTGCTGTGAGAAGTGGTCAGTGACTGGGTCCACTCATGTCAGTAGTCTAAGACTGGGTCCACTCATGTCAGTAGTCTAAGGCTGGGTCCACTTATGTCAGTAGTCTAAGGCTGGGTGCACTCATGTCAGTGGTCTAAGACTGGGTCCACTCATGTCAGTAGTCTAAGGCTGGGTCCACTTGTGTCAGTGGTCTAAGACTGGGTCCACTCATGTCAGTGGTCTAAGACTGGGTCCACTCATGTCAGTGGTCTAAGACTCGGTCCACTCATGTCAGTGGTCTAAGACTGGGTCCACTCATGTCAGTGGTCTAAGACTCTGTCCACTCATGTCAGTGGTCTAAGACTGGGTCCACTCATGTCAGTGGTCTAAGACTGGGTCCACTCATGTCAGTAGTCTAAGGCTGGGTCCACTCACGTAAGTGGTGTAAGGCTTGGTCCACTCATGTCAGTGGTCTAAGACTGGGTCCACTCATGTCAGTGGTCGAAGGCTGGGTCCACTCATGTCAGTAGTCTAAACAAATGGCAAATTAATATAACAATAAGCTAAACAAGCAGGTCGGGAAATTATCACTCGATATACATAAGCTAGCGTATACAGATGAAGAAAGACAGTTGCGCGTGCTACAACCACGTGACGTCAGACAACAAGCAGCAGATCTCACCGGGCTAGCACGTGTGGGTGTGTGTATTCCTCGCAACAAGGCAAGTGACATCTGCGGGCAAAGAACACTCTAGTCTGTGGACAAACAGCAATATACTGTTAGCAGAAACTGTTAGAGACACGCTGAACATTTCCTCTTTCTGCGAGGACAATT